GTGTGCGCATGGACAATAGTAGGCACACTCCTTAAGAATGGAGGGAAGCATGGAAGGAAGATAAGATTTACTAACGCTGATTAGTCTATTTAGAATTCCAGGGTTAAGTGAAGCCACTCTAAGTGGTGATCAAAAATTTGGCCAAGTAAGACAWGTTTGCAATTAAAAAAATAACTTACAGCTGTAAACTCGTGACAAACTTTCATGAAAATGGTTTATATCTTAAGGTGCCTCTACGTAGTTTTTTAAACCACCCTTCACTCTTAAAATCCAGTTATACACAATCTTACACCCTTAGCTCAATGTATCAGTATTCTATACCAGATGTTAGGTTTGRATGAAAGTTGTGAGCGATTTTTTTAAGGTAATCAGCGTTTCCATAGTAAACCTAAACAAATTTTGCGAATTGAAAACAGTTTAATCTAAATACCTTTCGTATTCATTACCACGCGAGCCAAGCCAATCAATGCACTGTAAACACTGTAGAACACGAAATGGAAAAGTTTCAAACAAATTCATCTGTTTCATTTTGAAGAAATCAATGAAAAAAAATTTTAACATGTGTTTCATCATGTTATTGGAAATATAAGCGATCAATACATCCATAGGTCTCAGAATCATCAATAAATTACCACAGAAAGTTTTCTCAGACTGCCCTTATTGCTCCCTACAAAAATATCTCTGAGCAACTCCTCGGCGATAAAGAGATCCAGCTCTTCATTCAAATGCAGTTTTCCCATAATTTTGCCTGACGCTTTCACTCTCTCAAACGTCAAACAAAACTGCTTTTCAATGAAAAGCTCGATCTCTTGATGTTTTCTTCCTTCTCGCGGCAAAACATTAGTACTCAAGTTTCATACGTACCTGCAGATTCCAGCCATAAGTTAAGTTTGCCAATAAACAAATTAAAATATCTATTTTKCCTCCGACTTCGTACGAAAATACAGCCGCCATTTTAACTCTCGATGTTCCGCTGATCAAAGGTAACTGAAGGCTCGAGGCACAGGCAGCCCAAAGGAAGAACGCAATTTTTTATGACTTTCAAAATAGTAATATTGAGTTTGTTCTGGTAAAAGGTAAAGGAAAGTTTAGAAGCTTTGCACCACACAATCGTTTTACATGAGAAAGAATTCAATTCCCAAGAGCAAAGGGATCTTATTGTTCTGCCATCTAACCACAGGCAGCCCAAGCTGTATTATGGGTGCCAGCAAGTGATGATGCAAAGCTTCTATTTGGGGGGAAAATTTCTAAGATTGCAGGAAGAGCGGAGTACTTTAGAAGAGGGGGAAGGGGTAGGGAGTGTAGTGGAAGTTTTTCCGGGGAAACATCAAACAAATAAACCAAATTCGTTGGGAACAAATATAAAGATTATTTTTTGGAGTGGTATCCATATTATTTGTCTTCTCGTGTGCAACCGTTAAGCAAACTTATCATATAATTATCCATAAAATACCTATATTTCTCCTTTTCGAAAAACGGATTGTTTCACACGTGAAAATAACATGTTATTTTCACATGTGAAAATATCGTTACCATGTATATTTAAGCTATTGGTTTATAAATAAGAACTTTTTATAATAATAAAAAGCTTGTTAAGTTGATTTTATGGATAATTATATAATAAACAGAATATTACATGGGCACTTGGAGATACGAAATTTATCTTCTCGTGTTGAAAGTCTCGCACTCGTTCGCTGCGCTCACTCGTGAGAGATCTTTTCAACACTCCAAGATAAATTTCGTATCTCCACGYGCCCATGTAATATCCTCTATTTACTATATTCTAGGAAATGACACATGGCCTGAATTGAAGTGGTCCATCGTTTGGCCTGTTGCACGTCTACCACACAAGTAACTTATTCAATGTTTTATTAATCACTACTCAAAACATAATCAGAAATCATATCAATAAATAATTTACTGTACAAAGAAAACTCAGCTGTGCTCACGTGACATCCATCATTGGATGTGTGAACGTATTTGTATATATACAATATCTTCAAGGCTAACTCTAAGAGGTGCGCTATATCGGGTATATAAAACTTTTTGTCAACACTCTAACTCTAAGAGGTGCACTATATCGAGTATATAAAACTTTGTCTAAAAATTTATTGGTTATCACGCATGCGCAGAAAGTAAAGAAAGTTAGCGCACACGCTTTATTTCGAACAAGATAAAGCAACTTTACTGCGCATGTTTGAAATCGTGTGAATGCGCGGAACAAATCAGAGAAACGTTTAAGGTTTTAAGCCRATATTGTTTTACAAATCACATTAAAATGCTATTCCTATTTATTCCTGACGTTCTTATTTCTATGGTCTACGAAATTCTTCTTTGGCTTAGTCGGTTTTCCGGGCGACGAAATTTAAGCTCGTCATGGGTCCTACAGACTAACATATGTTAAAGAAAGTAGTAACACGCATCCTTCTAAAGCAGTTTTCATATGACTGTGAAAAGCTCGGTGCCGTACGCGTGCCTTGCCGCGATCGCAATGTTTTCTAGGATTTTGATTGGCTGATTATATTTTTTCTCGCGCAACATGATTGGTTAGGCGCATGCCTTGCTGTGTCGCCACCGCGTTCGTACCGCCAGCTTTTCACACAGTCATACGAAATCTGTTATGATCTAACGAAGAAGTCTATTAAATATCTATAAAACTATCAAATAATCTCYATATGATATATATACTGTTTTACTTGATATCACATAGCAAAGCCACTCCGCGTAGTATCCAGTGATCTGGRTTCTGATTGGTCTTCAGGTCCACGCAGGCAATGTACGTCAGGTCTGTGCGTCGTGGCTTCTTATAAATAGGACATTGGTACAATCGATTGTCCCTACCCCCGGTAGAGTTGATSGCATAAATATGAACYACAGGGATAGAGGTGAAAAGCACTTTAGGTGCAGGTTCTATCAGCTTACATCCTCGTCGATCCCATCCTGCACCGTCTAGGTACAATCCATGCACGTAGACACCTTCAGTTGGGGGACTTGTGAYGTCATCTTTGAAGAACCGWGTGACGTCGTTGTGTAGGACTACGCAGTCKAGTGCCCAGCCTTTGTGCGCACGAGTGACTTCCTATAAATAGTGCAGTAACAAACAGAGCTTAAAACGTGTTACCATATTAGTAATCGAAGTAGGAACTTAAATAAGGTGCCTCACCTGTCTCATGGCTGTYAAGAATCCCTGAGGATTGAAGAATCCAGTCATCCAGAACACATTAGGGCGACCATCAAAACACCAGGAACGGAATTGTGCATTGCGCTCTATCAGCTCCGTAAACCAGAAGCCCAGGGTGGAAGATTCCCAGGAAATCTAGGAATAAATTGTTTTTTTTAAGGAGAGAATATGAGCGTACTTACAGAGGGATAATGACAGTAACYAACCTTTTTCCAGTGTTCTGGGATCCGTGCGTCGTACATACAGTCCAGGGAATCACGTAGTGTCTGTAATCAGGATTATAGTTTGAGAAATTG